TTATGTCGATTCTAGAGATAGCGATTAAATAACTTGCCAGAGCCTCCAGTGGTAGCAATGTGACCCCTGGAGGTAATATGTCACGGCATGCATCGGGGACAAATGCCGAGAAGTAGTCATCTTTTTCGTCGGTCGACAGCAGCCTTGAGGGGCTAAGCGCTACTACATCTGAGGCAACCTTAGTGATGTAAATTGCCACATTTTGGTCGGTCGGTCGGGGAAAAGACTTGTTATCGGCTGTAGACGTAACGAAGTCCTGTCTAACTGTGGTACATGAAAAATCCATTGAATCGGAAATTTTCACAAGCACAGACGGACCTTTTACTGGCAAAAGAAGATAATTAATACTCATGAAGGCCCGGTTTAAGGTCCCTGACTAAAGTCAGATACTAAAAAGTTACGTATATACATGGCATGAGCGCTTATCCATATTAGTTACACACCAATACTCAGTATGTACGGTAGATTTCGAAACGGGTGTCGCAGGTTTTAGCAAGCAACGTTATTAGTGGTGTCTGTTTTTGGTCTTATGGGCCAACACAATGTATATCAATGTACTAACATGAACTTTCTTAACAAAGCTAGATAGATGGCCTGTTCTAGCTTTTCTCAAGCAGCCTTTTAATACAGCATTGCCCAGTCAAACATCAATTGAGATGCCTATATTATATGTACAATTTAGACTACCATCAGCTTTAGCTATATCATCTTTCATCTTTCTTACATAGACGAGGGGGTAGCTAAAAAGTATTTTTATATATATTATCTACTATGTTGATTCTATGGGAAAATGTCTATTAAAGGCTAAGAAATGAGTATCTTAACCAATATGCAAGAAGGGGTAGTTAATGGCGGGGGTATTTACGGCGCCTTTGTTGTCTATGATCCATGTAACATTCAATTTTTTCCCAGCCATAAAAAAGTTAAGCTCCCCAACTCCGTTCGATTGCTGTGCAATGCCAACTCTCCCGGTGCTTATAAGAATATCAACAATATCCTCCTGGCCCATTTTGCAAGCCCGACGAAGCGGTGTGCACCCCTTTTTGTCTAGGTGGTTCTCATTTATTCATTCAAACTTCACCATATACTGAATGATATCTTGGTGTCGATTTTCGACGGCTCGCGATAGCGCCGTTCACCCTGACGCATCTTACCAATTATAGTTCGGCGCATCCTCATAATCCCTGTCTGATATCAGCTTGACCTCCACGTCATATCCGTTGTAACTTGCTCAATATAGCGGCGCGGGTGAGCCAGTCGCTGTCAACAACATCTTTTTAGAGTCCGAGTCGTCCGGGGTTGCTAATAAGAAAGTTTTATACGTCGATATTTTGCCAAATCTCACAAGAACCTCGGCCATTTCCTGGTTAGAATATGATGTCACGTAGAATAAAGCACAATCATCATTATCGCTTATGTTCACATCGATATTCTTAACCCCGATCAAGATCCTGGCAATACTAGTGCAGCTGTTATCAATCGCGGCGAGAAATGGTGTTAACCCATCATGATTCCTTGAGTTGATATTAACGCTCTTCACCTCTAACAACAGATTGTCGATTAAATCGTAGCCGTTATTTGTAACCCACCACAAAGGTGAGCTACCGTCATTATTTGTCTCATCAGGGTCCTCAAAATCATATTTTAGTGGATCACGCACGTGGTTATCGTAGCCGTTTTTTGCGGTATGTAAAAGGGGCAGCTGGGATGCTTCATGAGCTGGTTCAGGGTTGATGTCCAGCGCGTTGTTCATTGTCGACTTCTTTTTTTTTTTTCTTCCATCTGAAAAATTGTTGAATTCAATTGTATTGGGTGCTGGCTATATATACTTTTCTAGCTTATTTCCTCGAGTGTCATAAGTTGAAAGTTGATAAACCTGGTGCCTACGATACTTCGGTTAAATATTCAACATCTACATATGAACATGTATAAACAAACCATTTATAAAACTCCTTCACACCTATATTAGACTAGAAATAATAGGTATATAGAATATTTGAGCAATGGCCTACCTTTTAGAATAAGCTTCTCACATCACTTGTTTTTGCCATTGGTGCAGTTAGTCGAAATACGCATTCTGGCTAGGCCCCGGAAACATAATAATATTGCCAAATTCACTATACCCATAAGCAAGAGACGGTCATTCCAAACGTATGCTGTGCTAATTCTATACTGATCAAATAGGAAGGGGGCAATGTCCATTTTCAAGTTACTATGAACTACCCTGGAGAAGTAACTAAAATTAGAAATAATAAATAAAAGCTTTGAAACAGGGCTATAAAATATTCTTATTAGAAGATAATTTCAATGCTTATGCGTAAGAGTTGATGGGTTAAATAAGTTATGGTTGGTTGTTTTTTCCAACTTGATATAAGTGTACTGTAACCATTATATGAACCATGGGCGATTAATGACGTGGCTCTCTTGTGCGATTCTCGTCGTTATATTCGCCTCCTTCTGGCTGGCAAAGGTGACACTTGAGCTTAAGGTGTGCCTCCTTGGACCGACCCACAGGCCGACCCAATAACCTCGTAGTTTATGACTCTATTTCGCATTATGTAGCGACAGCCATTTAGTGCCAGGTTTTAAGTCTTCCCGGTTTTTAATAGGCCTCATTTGAATGAAGCCTCACTTGGATAGCTACAAGTGAATCTCTCCCCACACCGATCATGAGTACAGTACACGTTCGGGTGAATATCTTTCAAGTTTAGCTCCGCCTCCGCCAATAACGGCTGACTCTAGAACTTAATCACCTAGAACCCATTCTAATGCGTGCACACTACTGCAAACTGGCGGTACTGCCATCCCGAACGTGCTACATTTATAGTTTATCTCAGCCAGTTTATCAATCTGGCTCCACTAAGGTTTTTTTCTCCTAATTTGTAGGCTAAATCGACTGAGGATGACTGTTTCGAGCGGGGCCCCGAGCATGTAGGCTAAGAGCTAAAAAAAAAAATTGCGCTAAGAAGATCGAGCACGCATATTTTATGGCGGCTGGATGACAGAAAAATATTTGTTCAGCACAAGAAAAGAATGGTTACAGAAACAATGAGAAGTCTGTAAAATTAAAATAGAGAATTGTAAACTAGTGTGTCCAAAGCTGCGAAAGGACGCGATGCGCTACAAGACGATAAGAGGATCCTGGTTGGGCTGTAAGTCAAGTATACAGGAGCTTAAGACCGGTTATCCGGCGGTAACATAGTAACTTTCCATTCAATTGATCTTCTAAATTGGTGGTCGTGATTTCAAGAGACAGCTGTTTCTGATGATATATTTTAGAACCGTGTATACCAGCCGTCGGCAGCAATAACTGATTTTCGTCACTCAACCATCCTATGAACTAGCTTGTTCGAGATTATATCCCCTATCTCCTCCCACGCCGCAAGAGTTACCTCGTAGAGCTTCTGAAGAGTCTCATCGTCCTTCGGAAGGTGGTGAAGCTCTGTATGAGCCTCTATCATATTCTCTTTAAAAACAGCTTATAGGTTCTCAATAAAGTTGAGATATGGGCTATTAGGTGGCCAGCCAAGCAGTTCAGCCTCATGCTCTTGATATCAATTACGAAGCAAACTTGGTGTGGCCCCGTTTTTGTGTGTTGCTGGGATATTTTGGATGAATATGTTTATTGGAGATGCTACTTTTCGAAGGTCTTCCTCAAGTCAATCCCGAACAACATAGCCGGCTACACCCACCCTTTCGCTCTCCGGATTTCCAAGAAGGGGCACCAAAAATGAATGAACATCGCTGCTAGAGGCACCCCTGAACATCTGGGAATGACCTGTGAGGCTTCCATTTCGATGAACGCACTTTTGGCCTGGTGTGCTTGCCCCCTTGGGCTGTTAGTTGGATATTATTCAGGGCTGAAGTTGACCTACGATTAGACGGAACACCCACTTCTGCCTCTCTCTCTCGCTACGCGCAATTGGGGTCTCCTCATTAACAATAATAACGCATTAGAGAACACTCAACGTGGACCACGTGTGCAAGCTCAAATACTGTCCCAGAACACACTTTTAGATAATAGTAAATATAATGAGCTTCCTACGTTCAAGGAATCCGGTTCATTCAAGAAAGCTGGGTTGAGCTTATACAAGCAACTTATATTTATAGTACAACGTAATAAAGCGGCAATACCATAAATATCAAAGACTTCTGTACGGTACTATTCGTACATTACTGCGTTACTTTCGTCCTATGCCAACGGAGCAATATTTTGAGCAACGAGAAACTTCTAGGCTAGTCTCCTACCAACGAAACTAGCTGAGTGTTGTCGACTTTCTTGGGGAAGTAATCCAAGCACCCCATAAGTTACAAACAACATTGAGACAATATATTAATGCCGACATTGCAACCTGACGAGCATTAGCTCTATCTGGTGGGCATTTTCGCTCACTTAACGCTAGAGCGCCTATAGGTGGCTGGATATAAATATGAATGGAACGCATCTCGGCTTACATGAGACTTCTGTGGACCTAGTCGCTTGTACAGTGTATGGAGAAAGTACAAGCCAGCAGATCGCAGATTGAACCCGTAAACGATATGTAGCATCGAGGCTGTTGATTTGCTTCATGATTCCTGGCTGGTCCCACACCATCGCAGCATAGACTCATTCTGGGCTCATTTTACCGAGCTTAGGCGTCGGGCCACTGGCGCAGCAATGGCCCAGCTTATTATCAAGAAAAGTCCTCCGGGGCGCTTCGTCCGAGGAGGGTCTCGCTTTCGTCCCCCACAAAACGTCTGATCTGCAAAGGCAAAGGGCAAGGCTCGTGACTCATCGCATGTATCGCGTGACATGCGGAAGACATAATAGCTTAGCAAAGGACCGGCTGTTGTACCTATCCAGCGAAGGATACAGTAAGAAGGGGCAACAGCTGTTTACCTTCACTTTGTAAGGGGAGCCTGGTTTAGGGGTTAATCAGTTGAAAGAAGGACTAAATAAATAGCCTTTTAGGAGGCAACGGCCCGGCAATGGGTTCCAATATAATTCTTTAACAATCAGCATGAATTTTGACTTAGATGCTTTCCTTTTGAACTGTCAACAGGATGACGAATTAACACTACCGAGCTTCGAATTCAACGACCCTTCAACCAACCAGCTCTATTTGCCAGACCTGAGTGATTTTCCACTGGAAGATCAGTCCAATGACCCAGCTATTAAACCTCAGTTTAGTACAGCCGAGGCAGATTTTGGCTCCTGGGATTGGGAGGGAACGCTAGAGTGCCCTGTGGCGAAAACTAATAACGAAAGTGAAGAGTCTACCCAACTCAGAGTCCCTGACAGCTTTCTGGAGGAAGAACTAATAGAATGCCGCCGGTTAAAGGGCCAGCTCGAAGAGCTGGTGAAAAAGGGCGAAGAGCAAGTGGAGAAGATGAAAGAAGTGGTAAAAGATATGAAAGATCAGAAAGCCAAAACAGAAGAGGTGGCAATTTCTATGAGGAATGAAGCTAAATCGGTGTATGTAATGATTCCAATTCTGGGACAAGTGATTTACTAAACCTTTCCGCACTAGGACCGAAGGCATCGTGAGCAGATTCAAAACCGAGATTGAGACCTATTGTGGAATGTTAAAAACCTGGGCAACTGCCGTACAACTACGCGTGGAGAATGCTAAAGAATAGAATGGCCTATAAAGATAAACTTGAAATGTGCTACCAATGGGTATTAGGGTAGCTCCAACGGAATGGGACTACCGGAGTTTTGTTCAATCGCCCATACCTCCGGATGGTGACATAGAATAGGAGATTCAAGACCACAATCGTTCTACCTCCGGGTTATAAAACAGGAGGGCTGGTAGATGTTTTTATTATGAAATCTGCTTCAAGGGTTACTGAGTATTAGAAGTCAATTAAGATATGAAGTGCTTTTTGGTTTTTATTTGTACCTCGAAACCGGGCTAATGCTAGGTAAATAATATGACTCTGGCTCTTTCATACAATAATAGCTGTGGTAGGCGCCAAGAGTCTTGATATATACACTCCCTTAAGGCTCATTCTCTAGGAGACAAGCTAAGGGGAGGAAAGGCTAGAGAGATATAGTATCAAGAAAGCAGGGCGTGTACGCAACGGTTATAGATGACTGAGCCTTAGAAGTTGGTCTTCCCTAGGCTGGCCCAGCATGTTGATAATGGGGTTTTTAATATAATACACATGGTACCAACTATTCTTACGATGCTTGGAGGATTCCTGATTGATATTTATATTCATTTCGCAGCTTAATTAGCCAGAGTCAATCACCTTAATCTATGTATGGGACATCAGTTATTTCTCTTATAGTCAATCAGTAATTAGAATATTGGCTATACTAAGATAAACTTGCTAAATACTAAGGCTGAAGTTGTTTTAAAATTTCGAGAAGACTCTGCATTTCTACCCTTGTTCTTCCCATTACTGGGCTTCCCATAGAAGTTCACCAAATCAGAGCCCTGACCTTTGAGATTCATTAGCTTTATATATAATTTATATTCACTATAATCCTAATACCTCAATACCGCTAGCTGGGGTGAGACATGTTCGAATTCTAAAGCGCCTTACACCAATTAGAGGTGATAGAATTGCCTAGGTTTCTAGATAAGAGGAAGATCTAATGGCGATCCCTTTTGTCTTTAATGTACCAAATACAGTTGCCGATGGGGAATAATGTTTCTTAGACGTTAGTTTTCTGAGGGACATAAGGTGAAGCACCAATGGTATAGGCAGGGTATTTCGTAGTGGAATTATGGGGGGGGGAGGGGTTTAATTCTCATGTTTATTATTATTATTAATTAGTTAGTCAAATACATGTACTCAGGCGACTGAAGTATTTGACAATTTTACTGTGCCAGATGACTGAGGAGAGAGACACTCGCAAGGGGCGAAATGCTATTGCTTTATCAGAAGACCCAGCTGTGTGCTTTAGAGGCACAAGTTTTTAAATGGCAATCACTGGTCTCCTGTAGGCAACTACTGTACTTAGGGTTTTTCTGTATATACATACTAGGAGGGCCCCTATTTTAGTCTTTATCGTGCTTGTCATGCTGTGAGTCCAAATTCGGGTCGTGCCGACCTGTAATGGGTTCTAAAGGCCTACGAGACAGATAGGTACGTTCCCCTTTTCAGATCAGGGCGTGCGTTATATAAGGCCCCCTATCATGGATGATAAGCTCTAATTCTTGATAAACTACACATTGGTAGAGAAACCATCAAACTATTTACAAGGATGCAACGAGTCAATCCTGATTCCCTTCGTCCTAGAGACTTCTTCAGTCTAAGTGCACCAGCCCATACAGTACGACGCAGGACAATGTGTGGCCAGCGTCCTCCGACTTTGCAACGAGAGCAACGATTCATAGAAGGCATACGCCAAAAGCCAAAACAAATTATTATGACGTTGAGGAATCAGTCGATGGATGATATGCTAGAGATGAAGCTAGATGATGGACCTAATACAAAGGATGATGGGCTGGGAGGGAACACAGGTTTCTAAAGATGGACGAAAGAAATAGGACTTTAGCACTTCAAAAAACAAGAACATCTCCTCATCACTGTTATAAGCAAATGAGTGGCTCTTTAAACTAGCCCTAACAACTAGCCATAAGAAAAAGTTATATAACTTCCCCAGCCCTATTTAAGAAATGTGCCACATAATGTGCGGAGGTTGGTATGATATACTGTTAATTCTAGATCCAGTGGATACTAGTGGTGCTAGCAAATGTATCATTATATTATCACTGAGTGCAAGATATGTTCTCGGAACACAACCACGAGAATAGCTATTGCGACCTATATAAGCTCTATTTACAACCATGGTATGTTACTCTGTTCAAGAATGGGCCAGTACGTAACTAAACAAGAGCGTAAAAAACAAATCGCGCGTCTCAAATCTTTTATTCAAAAAATCACATAGTCAATTCGAGCTTTCTAGACTTTTACATAACCACATGACAGACTAAACATAGGGCTTATTGACCAAATATGGGCTTAAGCCGAGTTATCGGAGCCTTTGACCTACAAGTGTTATATATATGTGTGTGAGACGAGTAAATCGAGTTCTGAGTTTCCCTTGGGGTTGTGTTATAAATATAGCGCTGGTATATAACCTAGGTGCGGTGGATGATACTTGCAAATGTCCGCTATCCACTCACAAATCTACCATCGATCTACTGGTTTTCCAGAAGGTTTTAGTCATTTTAGCACTACTTTGCCTTATCCCACGGCGAATCTCAGCTCCAATGCCGTAGTCCACCAGGAAGATATAGAACAGATCCAAAGAGTTGCATACGGTAGACTACGGAAGAAACTTACACAAGAGGGAAAGGGAAAAAAGGACTATAGTCAAACCATAATCGCCTCTCCCCAAAAAGCCTAGAATAACCCTACTTCATGCCCCGATCGATAATGATATAGTAGAACTGTTCTTCACCATGTCCTAAGATACCCTTATTAATTTCGGGTAAGATTGGCATACTAACTCCTGTGAGAGCGGGAACGAGTTCTTTTGAATTTATTAGCTTTAGCGAGGATGTATCCTTAAAAAACCTACCCTAGGTTTTATGATATTCTAAACTAGTATTATGAGATGATTCCAAAGAAACAGCAAATAAAATTCGACTCTAGCATCTAAGGCTTAACAACAAAGATAAAGTTTTTAAGTATAACACTGAATGGTGATTTCTTGATATAGGGCCTGGCTGACTACTGTGTGATAGGATCTGTATGAGTTTATCATATTAAAAAGCTTTTCAATGTTGGTATAGTTTAATTAACCGTGAGCCGGGGCTAAGGATGAAGGGTCATAGAAGCGCAACCAGGCTGTGAGTATAGCCCCACTTTTGAGAATATATCACACTCACCTACATAATTCCAAGACATCAATGATGAAAAAGCCTACTAAGAAGCCACACATTTAGGAGAAACGTACCAGCCAGACGGTCTTCAAGCGCATCAGTCTGGACAGTAATATAAATAAGGAAAGGATAAGACACCTGTTCAGCAAGGGATAGTCGTGTTTTCAGCAAGGTCTTTATAGTCCCTCTGTGACCATGTTAACAGTCAGCCTCGCCTCTGCCGCGAGTATATACACTCTGCCTACATAGTTCCTCATAGAGCGATAGAGCTACATTCACCAATCGTGGCGCATTAGATACAGCCGCATGCAAGATCCCTTGGATGCATGATCTATATAACTCCATATAGACATACACCTATTGACTGCAACTAGCCATGCACATATATAAGAGACTACGGTGCCTATAGATTGGCCTTTCCATTAATGAACAGGACAAGCTCCTTGCCAGCCTCGTAGCTCCACGCAGGCGAGGGCCATCCTTTGGCTGTTTTAGAAGATGCAAAACCCTTTATATTGTTATGCTCAATCTTACCACCAAGCATGCAGCATGCCGCCCATGCTTTCTTGGGATAGGACGGAACGATATAGTATCACCAGAAAAGCGCGTCAGGTGCCCAGGCGAGAAGTGTCCCAGAGAGCGGTGTCCCGTCTTGTTCTCGTTTGAGCAGTTTGAATTTCTCCTCGATCAGAATACCGGCCTCTACAACTTCAAACTGTTCGTGCCTCTATGGCAAAATGAGTCCGTGAATGAAAAACTGAAGGAAAACCCAAACTATGAAGCCTGTCCCTTTTGCAACTACATTGATGACTTTGAGAGCCTTCCGAAGCACGAGCATCCAAGGCGGAGGACGCGAGCAAGAAGTCGCTCGCCGACTCCGAAGGCCTCGATGCCAGGGCAATAGAGCTCAAGGACGACTATGCACAGAAGCGCAGAGCGGCAGACAAAAAAAACTACAGGCACTTCAAGGGCGGCCCTGCCACGATCTACTGAACGAAAAAATGCCCTTTGTATTCCAACCCCCTACTACTGCACTGTAAGAACCAGGTACGGTGGATTATGGTGATGAAAAGTAGTATCCTGGATTATTACCAAAATCGCGTCTATAAAAACATCTTGGACGACCTAATAAAAAGACGCTGATTCGCGATGCCAAGCGGGACCTAACAGCCAACCCTTTTCCTGGAGACGGGGCGCTACAACGAGCCAGTCTGGCAAGGACCAAGCCACAATTAGACCAAGCGGCTTGGAGATACATCTTATGTCTGGTAATAGGCTAATTAATCGTGCAAAACAGCAAGTACAAAACGGGTCGCGAGTAATTAATTGTTCCTTTTATTTGGATTTTATTTTTAATATTCTTCTTAAAGCTCCTTTGAGAATAGTTTTAAAAGAGCTGAAACTGCCATGTGTCAGTAAGGAACTCACTGCATAGATTGATAAACATACATAGTATAAATGCATGCCTCCTAATTGCCTCATGAGATGTATGTTGTCAAACATTGGAGTGAATCTTTTATAGCTAGTTATCCCGGTTTTAGGCCCCTAAGAATATGTAAGCTTGTCTGATTCTTACCCTCGACCTTGTTTTAGGTCAGCCTGGTTTCTGGGAGCCTGGTTTCTGAGAGCCTGGTTTCTGGTACCCCACGTTCCCTTAAAACCCACTGAAAGGACTCTCACTATACTGTACACTCAACCTTGTGCAAAATGGATCATATAAGACCAGAAGATCTGAGGTTGCAAATCCCATGGGAAGAACCAAACCCAATTAGCAACAAGAAGAGGATGAGGATATAC